AGATGGCGTGTCTCATGGTGGGATCAGCCATATTGTCCACTCTGTCCACAGGCTGTTCAGAGCAGGGATGTCGTCCTTCAGGCCTGGTGGGTCAGGATGTGCTCCACTCTCTCTTCCTCCCCCTAAGTGCTCCCATTTGCTCTGATCAGACATGCCCCTCCTCCCCTAGCTGCAGCTTCACTGCCATCCTCTCAAGTAGCTTCTTCTGGGGAGAGGGGAAAGGTTTATTCTTAAGCATCTCAAAGTTCATTCTGCAGGGACATGTGTTAAATTATAAGGCACACTGCCAAGTTAAATGTGGTAATATTGTACAGAGAAGTGTGATGAATTACTTTTGCATAACAGTAGTCCTAACCGAAATATTAAGGATGCTACAGAGGTAGTCTATGTGAATTGGTAAATAAATCCTTAACGAAAAGAAAAACCAAGTCAGACAAAGAACGGAAAGACCAAACCAGGATCGAAAGAAAACATTTATTGCATCAAAATCAATACTTTCTTTTTAAATATCTACAAGCCAACACTGAACTCACTTTATTCAAGAATGAACACAATGTACAAAAGAAGTATGCTTATATTATAAAAATATGTCAATTTTATTCTGGGAGTGAGCAGACCTCACTTTAAACAAAACCAAGGCAAACGTGCTCTTCTCTATAATGACCCTTCTATCACTCGACAACAAATGCGAAAGCTAATGCACTCACGACGTATTGTGAAGGCCCACGGGTGCCGGACGCTGCCTGGGAAGTGCCGAGCCCAGCACCACTGTACGTGCTGGCACCACTTCGTGCCTGCATCTTGGGAAAGCACCTCTTTTTAGGATGCAGATCACCGCTAACGGAAGCCATGCGATCAGTTAGATGCGCATTCAGTTTCCCTTGCTTAACAGTTTTTAACATGTATTTTGGCAAAGTGAAAAGAGCCTGATGAATTCTGGGTGGAAAACCCCATTTCTCTCATTAGCCCCCAGTGAAAATGAGATGCACTGTTATGCGGGTGGTGGTGGCCGACCAGCCTCTGAGGTGGGAGACTCACTGGTGAATGTGGGAGAGCTGATACTCTCCAGCCTCCCTATAAACAATTATGCCCAGGGGTGGCATTCCTCGCTTTCATTTCTTTTTGGTCTGCTTATTCCTTGACTTCACTGGTACCTTCCCAGGAGTCCTGGCGTGTGCTCTGCACACAGCAAGGCTGCTGTGCCCAGGGGCGCCTGGCCGCCAGCGCGGTCACAGGCGGGAGGGGAGAGTCCAGCCTCCCCTCGCTTGGCCTCCCCCCACACTCGCTGGCATATTTGGTCCTTGGAGAAGCCACAAAGATGGCAGATTCAGGGAAGCAAAAAAAAAAAGTAAAATAAAATGATGTCATGAATTTGGGAGAGAGGCTCAGAGCTCCTTCTGGTTGTCCAGGAATTAAGTGGCAAATGCAAAACGTGTGCTCATTTGAAAATCAATAATCAAAACAGGCACAGACAAACGAGCATTCGTGCTGACGATGCCCCTGCAGCCGTGTCCCGGAAGGAACAGGATTCTAGCTGGGCAGGATAATTACAGAGCACACTGTGCACAGGTGAATCCATGACAGCAGGTGAACTGAAGGCTCGATGTCGCATTACCCGTTGTGATGAGTACGCATGTGACTCGGAAGTCTCTGAGCATCATTTTTATAAACTGGGCTCTCTCCATGCTTGGGGCCGACAGCTCTGGGGGCTCAAAACTGCACATAGACAAGGACGGAGTAGGCTGTGCCCAGAGTGGGCGCACAGCGAGTGGAAGAACGGTTCCACGTTTGGTTGACAACCTACCGCTCACCTGGCTACCTCTTGCCCGAACCTGGGGGCGAAGGGCGGGGGAGGAGGACAATCAAAAGGCAGAAGGGAAGCCAGTGGCTTTCTTCATTTGATCACAAGATTCCTTTATGGAAGTTTTCAACGAAGCTGTTTGCTGTGTGAAATGTTAATTTACACCACATGGCTGGCTGACGCGGACATACGATCAAAATGTTTTAATGTCTAGCGAAAGAGAAGCACTTAAGAGAAATATTGGGAACTGTATAATACTAAAATACTCCGTTCACAAGTTGTGAAGGATAAACATATTTTGGAACCTGAGACAAAAGCTTCTGGCCAATGCCATAAAAAGCCAGGGTCCAGGCTGTTCTCACGGGCAGTGATTCAGCCAGGTCAGTGTGTTGCTCTTGGCAACTTGCACGGCCCACGAGACACGTGAACTACAGCTGGGCCACGACTCTCGAAGCTGCAAGTTAGCAGTACGGGCCGGAAGCGGGACACACTGCTACTGGGGACAGAGCGATCACACATGACACGTCAAAGGAGAACGAGTGGAACTACACGGGAACGAGCGCATAAAGAAGCAGAGGGAGCCGACGCTCGGGAGCAGACTGGAGGTGAGGATGGCCGCAACACTCGGGGAGATACAGACCATCACCTGCCCTCAAAATAAATATATTGAACATTTACAACAGAATGGATGCCTTATGAATGTAAGCATTTCTTTTATTGCAATTCTAATCAAAGCGACCAAAAAGCCATACTTCTAAATAACGCTACAAGTCATCTTTTCCTGTGAAGCCCATGTGGCTCGGTGCCACAGCTACACTTTCTCCCCTAATAGCAGCAGCATCGTCAGCCCCTGGCAGCAAGAAACTGGCCGTTGGCGCTCGGTGGGCTCCGCACAAGGCAACTCCATAAAGCACGCCGAGCTCTACTCTGCCGAAGTCTCACAGGAGCAAGAAGGAGCACTGTGCTTGTGGGTCTCATACTTGCCAAAATACACAGACATGGTGACAGGTTAACAAATACTAGTAGGTTCTTGCTTACCAAGACAAATCATAAGGCGGAGGGCGGGAAGTGGAAAGAGAAATGTTTAAGGCGGGGAGAAGGAAAACAACAAAAAAGGAGGTTTCAAAATGGCGGTAGCATTCACGAAAAAGATCATGCTAAGGTCAGATCCATATTGATTTGAAAATTGAAAAGTAAGCCACGATCCCAAGAACTCTGTCCACGAGTCCCAAGGCATGCATGCCAGCTGACGGGAACGCAGTATTCTTCCGGCGACAGCTTCTTCACAGCAGGACAGTCACGCATCACGGGAGCAACCACAAGAGGGCGAATGGGACCCAGCACACATCTTTTTTTGTAGTTAAAAAAAGGAAGAAAGAAAAGCAATCACAAGACCCCCAAAATTAAAGAAATAATGGAAAGAAGAAATACAGAAATTCACAATGACCTATAAAACCAAGAGAAAAATCCAAATTATTTTTACACTTTCAGGATCCATCTTTTAAAAGATGCCTCTCCACCCCCACCCGCCACCCCATTTAGAAAGCTTACTGTGAAAGACTGATACAGGTCAAGGCATGGAGATCTAGAAATCAGGGTTAAAATATAAAAGGCCTTCTCTACTCAGGGGAGCACCTCAGTGTCTCCTATTGCCAGGGCAGAGGGGCAGCTTCTCCCCAAACCTCAGCCCACACACGCTCTCTACCCACTGCCTAGAAGCAGGGAGACTCTTCCTGAAGGAAGAGGAACCGGAAGTTGGCATAAAAAGACTGCTGAAGGCCACCCTTGGAAAGAGGTTGGCAAAGTAAAGCATGTTTGCCCTTTCCAAGAAGCTCACAATGAAAAAATAACGAGGTGAGCGCAGAAACTATATTCTTTTTTCCCCCAAAGCATAACCGAGGCAGTCTGTCTGCAGTGGGCTGTCTGCAGTGGACGGCCGGCCTTGAGGTACTCACAGGAGCAGCCCTGGGCTATCCCGCCTTCGTGTCCACCAGCTGCATCTGCACGTTGGCGGCCATGCCAGCCCCGTAGCCGCCCTTGGACTGCATCTGGTTCTGAATGGAGCTGACCTGGAACAAGACAAAAACAGAGTGGGGGGAAAAAGTGAAAGTCAGGAACTAGGTCAGGTGCAAAATAAGCCATTTGTTCCCAACATGTCAGCTGGTTTGGTTTCCCCCCCAGAACGACATTTCCTTTCCTTTTTTGGCTTTGTCAATTTTTAAAAAAATCATTTTATTAGGGGCTCATACAACTCTTATCACAATCCACACACACATCAATTGTGTAAAGCGCATTTGTACATTCATTGCCCTCATCATTCTCAAAACATTTCCTCTCCACTTAAACCCCCGACATTAGGTCCTCATTTTTCCCCTCCCTTCCCGCTCCCCCCTCCCTCATGAGCCCTTGATAGTTTATAAATTGTTATTTTGTCATATCTTGCCCTGTCCGACGTCTCCCTTCACCCACTTTTCTGTTGTCCGTCCCCCAGGGAGGAGGTCACATATAGTTCCTTGTAATCGGTTCCCTCCTTCCTACCCACTCTCCCACTACCCTCCCTGTTTCGCCACTCACACCACTGGTCCTAAAGGGATCATTCACACCCTAGATTTCCAATTCCTATCTGTACCAGTGTACATCCTCTGGTCTAGCCAGACTTGCAAGGTCGAATTCGAGTCATGGTAGTGGGAGGCGGAGGAAACATTTAGGAATTAAAGGAAAGTTGTATTTTTCATCATTATATTATCGCACCCTGACTGGCTCGTCTCCTCCCCGAGACCCCTCTGCAAGGGGATCTCCAGTGGCCTACTAATGGGCTTTGGATCTCCACTCCGCACTCCCCCAATCATTCACTATGGTAAGATTTTTTGCAGAACGACATTTCTTAAGAGTCCAAATTTAGTTTTTTTCTGGTCATAAGGGCAAATGGTTTGGCTAGCTATTGAACTTTTTTTGGGGGGGAAGGGGTGCAGGGAAAACAGGGGTGCCCATAACGCCTCTAATTTCTTTATCTCTACTCTACAGTTGTTGTTAAAAGAAGTCAGTGTTATAATCCACAGGCACTTGGTAACATTTCAACCACCACCAACAGGCGCACTCCACTTTCTGTTCCTCAAACCCAAGAATCTTAACTCGCAGACGCCTCGGAGCCAGAGGTAAATGCACAAGTGGATACGGTCCCGACACAATCTGACCACTGTAAAAAGGAGTCTAAGAGCCCGCAGACTTAGACTGCAGTCCAGTTTTATTGACTGATATCAGTTACTATTTTCTGAATACCAGGCCCCTTTTCTGGGCTATGTTCTGACGGAATGTGAGATACATAACTACAGAGGTACTTTCCTTACTTTTTACAACATCCTCGGATCCCAGAACAAAACTGAATGCACAACAAATGCTCAACTGACTTTGGTGGACACAGGCACGGCACAATATATCATTTGCAGACTGTGATGGGCTTTCATTGTGTCACTCCTATTGTCCTCTAGCCTGGAAGCAGTAGACTGGAGGCGGCTGGGAATTGGGCTCGACTGCTTGAAAAAGCACCGTCAGCTGCAAGAAGAGTTTGGAGGTGCTAAGCTAGCAGCCGTGAGTCTGAAATCCCTGTCGCCCAGTCTCCCACCCTCCCACCCCGGGATCAACCTCCAAGCCTCCAGGCGCTGGGGGTGAGGGGGCGCACAACCAGCCACTCCTTTGTACGGCACACTTGACTGTAATACAAAGCGTCACGTGCTAGATTATGAACCAGTCAAGTAAAAAGACGTGACTGAGTAATTTTTGAAATAAAGCTGGACATAAATATACTCATAAAAGGTAAAATATGCGGTTTATAGGGATACAAAAGAATTTAAGCGAGACATAGTTTCAGCGCTCAGACCACTACATTTTTACTGAAGATTTTACTTGAGTGGATCATCTTACTCCAGCTAACGATATGAGATAATGAGCCATCACTGTACCTATGTAGGTACCATCTACATTTAATATTGATCAAGTGACTACTCTAAATGAGATTAATAAGAACTCTATAAGCCAATTTTTAAAATGAACTTGCCCTGTTTAAGGAAGTCACAGCCTGCCATATGCTATCAGCTCAGTCACCATGTTCCCTTTGATACCATATTATGTGGTACAAACCTGTCTTCACCCCCTAACAAATAGTTTCCCAACTAACACAACATTTTAGCTTTAATATACTTTATCTTTTTATTTTAAATAGTTTTATTGGCAAAATTCTTTAAAATTTTTAAAATTATTGTTACTTTTGATCATTTTGTTGAGGGCTCTTACAATTCTTATTACAATCCGCAATACTGATACAATATTACAGTCCATAATAATGATGACCACATGTTATGTTGCCATCATTCTTTCCTGGACTTTCTATCGAAACCTTGGTATCAGCTCTTCCCCCGCCTCTTGTAACTCCTTGATCGACTGTGGATTATTATTTTCATATCTCACACCAACCACTGCCTCCCTTCCCCCATGGTTTCAGTTGTTCTTCCTCCTAAAGGGGTGTGTGTGTGGTTGTGACTGGCATATTTGTACATATGCCCGATCTGGTAGCACTACACCCATTCTGCTCCTGGGTTGCATGAGTCATGAGCTCTTCTCTCTTATCTGTACCTGTGTACATGCTCCAGTCTAGTCTAAAGTGAGAGGCAGCTCTGGGGTCATGGTAGTGGAGGGGTGAGGAAGCCTCAAGGAACCAGAGGAATACTGAGTGTTTCTTCGTTGCTTTTACTGCACCCTAGTTGACTCATCCCTTCCCTGTGACCTCTCTGCGGGAGATGTTCCACTGTCTACTGATGGGCTTTGGGTCTCTGCTCCGACCTCCCTTGTTCTCAACGATATGGTTTGTTTGTTAAGGGTCTTCTGATGCCTGTTACTGGTCCCAATGACATCTCATGATAGCACAGGCTGGTGTGCTTCTTCCATGTGGGCTTATTGTTTCTCTGCTGGATGACTGCTTGTTGCACTTCAAGCCTCTAAGACCCCAGACACTGTATCTTTTAATAGCTGGGCACCATCCACCTTCATCACCACATTTGCTTATGTACCCACTTTGTCTTTAGAGTGAGCATCTCAGATTGCCAATTTGTTAGAACAAAATGTTCTTGTATTGAGGAAGGCATGTATTGGCATAATTCTCATATCATACAATTTAGTAGTTCAATCACATTATGAAGATTTGTACAATCATCACAAATTTTCAATTATTTTCTTTGTTGATCTATTTATCAGTTCCCCATTTCCCTCCAACCTCCTCTGCCATACTCTCAATGAACTATTTTTTTTTAATTTAAATTTTAAAAATTTAAGGCTTTTTGGACTGGTAGAGACTGGAGAAACCCAAGACTACTATAGTAAGACATATTTTCTTTTTTTTCTTCATTTTTTAGAAAACATCTTGTAGACCTCAAAGTACTGGACAGGAAGCTCCCATTCAAGGGCAAGTTATCTTAAGACACTGTACATGATACTAATGTTTTGTCCACTTGAAATATGTATGTGTTCTAACAAAAAAAAGAAGAAAGAAAGGGTTGGAAAAGAAGGCAGTTTTGAGATGAAAGGCAGGACCAGTATTGAGCCCGGAGAAGAACGGAAGAGGAGGCAGTTACTTTCGGCCTCTTCCTATGTGGTGAAAAAGAGGAAAGTCCCTGATTTCTTCTCTCCTCTTAGCCTGTGCTACCTGGGCTTCCCTCCCTCTCACGTTACCTCCCGCCACCCTTCTGCCACTTCATCCTCCTGTGTGGTGCCGTGATGCTACAAGCTATGCCAGTGGTTATTTCAAATCCTTGGTGGAGAGGTTTCGCCGGAGCTTCCAGACTAAGACAGACTAGGAAGAAAGGCCTAGTGATAATGACCTTGAGGAAATGGGCCAACGAACACCTATGGAACCCGACAGGACACTATTGGACCTGCTTGCTGTGGACATGTCAACAGGAAGGCTCACTCGCTGGAAGGGGGACATGCTAGCTGGTGAAGCAGAGAGAGGACAAGGGAGACTCTCTGATGAGATGACTAACACAACAGTTGCGCCAATGGACTCAAACAGACTGTCAGGACAGGTTGACTAGAGAAACAAATCTAAGGACACTCATATATGTGTAAGAAATAGCTTCACATCAAGAAGTAACTGTGTATCAGGAAGACATCCTAGCCCAGCCCAACTCAAGTCCAGAAGTCTGATACTAGTCCATAAGTCCCTCTTCAGAGTCACACAGCCACAAGCAGTGGCGCAGAATGCAGGAAGATCACAGGCTGGTTGGTGCAAGTCTTGTGGATCCAATGGCATTGAACCCATCTCCAGGGCTCCCGCCAGTCTTAGTGTTACTAGTCACAGGAAGGTGAAGGCAGAGAGAGGCAGAGGCGGGTCCCCCAGGCAGGAGGAGAGGAAGTTCCTAGAATCCTCATGAGAAGGCCA